CAATGCGCTTAACAACATTGTCACGTTCGTCGTCAATGTCCCGCGAACGTTCCTAAAGTGAAAGTCGCTTAATTTCTAGTTAGAATCCTAAGGTAGAGATATCATTAAGTTTTAATTAACGTTTAAGCATGAAGAAAGATTGGAGATTAGAGATTATAAGTTTTTATTTTAACCTTTTTCTTCTTTGTCCCATAAATTTGGTCGATGATTACGGGGTATTTGACGTTATTCAAGATGATGTCTTTGAAGATAATTTCATTTGCCAGCCCTAACATCGTTCCCGCCCATGTCTTAATTCTCGCACCGTTGGTGGTGTTGAAAATGGTGCAGTTCTTCACCAGTACGTCGATCACGCTCTTATCTGTTGGGTACTTGCCTAGGCTGCCTACACTGGACAACAAACAATATTTCTTACCGTTTCAAGTTACCTTTATTTATTCTTATAGTTCAAGAAAATTCTAATAGACCTTAGGACACTGTGTTGGAATTAATTTAATAATTAATTCACATGTAGGTAACAAATTTAAGAGTAATTATATTTGAGCTTTTTAATGAGTATGTTAAGTGGTGATCTTGATTATGAGCCAATGACTTCCCATTCAGATATGACCTGACTTAGTAAAAACTAGCCATTAATATTAATATTAGGAAATTATGGAAAACCCTAGGAGTAACATATAAATATACCGTGTTACTTGAGACTTTTGTCTTTCATCAAACAAAGAGAATTGTCAATATTTGGTTTGGTTGCATAGTTGAGGAAGACCACAAACCAACAACTTCTTACCGGCCATGATTAATATTTATCTAATGGTTCCAGATAATTTTAATCTCTTTATAGATTTTTGGTTTCTTTCGTGCTTAGATCAATTGTCTTGATTGTTCTTGAATTGTACGATTATAGAATAACCATAAATTTGGATTTCTTAATTTTTCGAACACACTGATGTTGAATCCGTCGGTTTAAAAAATTCCACTTAAGATTCTATATATTTCGGCAACTCATGTCATCAAAGTATTGGCTAGTTTGCATGTGTTTTCTTTTCGTGCCACTTTGTGTCAAATTATCATGTATCAGTCTTCACATTATTAATGAAGACTTATTAGAATCAAAATTTAAAGTGGTTTCGATTGGTTTTTTTTTTCCCAAGGCCATGTCCTAGACCGCACGAAGACTTTTTCACAACTGTGGCTGATGGAGACGCAGTCGTCGTCAGTGCCGATGACGCTGTGAGAAATGGTGACTAGTTTTGAGGTACTTTGGCAGAAAATGTTATTTTTGCAGTCCTTATAGGGTTAAGCCGCGGCGCCTTGCCCGTCGAAGATGCCAGCATCAGTGAGGATGAAGTTGTCAATATTTTCAATGGAGAACCATTTCGGAGATGATTATTCGCTAATATCGGTGGTGGCCTTTACAGTTCCTTGAATTTTGACGGTGATCGGCGAGCTTGGGTATGGACCAGCAAATACAGCCAGACCTACCAAAAATGTGCCGTCGGGGATCAGAAATGTTGCCGGACCGCTGGTGTTCTGATAGGCTACAATCCATGATGTCATGAATGCGTGCCTCTAAAGTTAACCCAACATTAATTAGCATGGAAAATACTTAACTCCTTACTAATAAGGATCAACTTTCTACTTCCAACAATTAAAAAATATTGAGTTTGTCAAATATTTAATAGAGTAAAAATAATTTGTTTTGGTTGTTTTTTTTTTAGGAAAGTTAAACAATTTTTATTGTCATTTAAGTTGGAAAATGATTTTTTCTCTTTCTTTGAAGAAAATAATCCTATAACTATGGGTTGTTATAATATCCAACTATAGAGATGTTGAAAATTAAACATTTAAAATTATTTGTAATAGTTGGGTTTAATTATTTCGAACCAATCATTAAAATTCAACTATTAAAAGTATTATAATGGTAGAATTTAATTAAAATGATTGGATAAAGTTTATGGAGTCGTCATAGTCTTTTTTTTTTCTTTTTTGAGAACAGAGTCCTCATAGTTATTCCAATTAAAGTTTTTATTTATATTTTTCCTTTAAACATATAATTTTATTGTTGGGTAGTAATTTAAAATATATGTAAATTGTTCTTCAAATTACTAAATCTTCATAGTATATACATGTTTATAATTAAACTATCAAAATTGCTGCAATCATACAAATCAAAATTACAAAAGTGTTTCCATTTATTAGTTGCCACCATATAGAACAATGATGGTTCAAATTCCAACGATTGTGTAAGATTGGAGGATAACTACTCGAATTTAAAGTTTGAAGGTTTTTTAGGGCCGTTTTTATTATTATAATTTTTTTCTTGAAAAATATAAAACTTATTATTTGGTAATAAAATTATCATCACCTGTGCATCATCGGTCTTTCCATTAGCTTTAGCTCCATCCTTTCTAACATAAAGAATTGTACCTTTGTTGCCACTGTGACCCGTCGTCAAAGCTTGGAGACGAAGATTCTTCAAGATGCCACCACCACCCGTCGAAACGGCACTGAGATTCACCGCACCGGAGATGGCTCCGAGAACGGCAACCACGCTCCCGCAGGACTGCCAAGCAAATACTAAGAAAAGGGTTTGAAGGAGCTTAAACCCTCTGGCCATTGCCATATATGGTAAAGTATAATTAATATATTTTTGAAGTTGGAACAAAGTCTTGATATTGGTTTTGGAAAATATTAATTTTATGCTGTGGGGAAATTCTAAGTATAGAATATGTTAGCTAGGGTTTTTCTTTCTTGTTTTGTATCAGTAATTGGCAGCTCTGTTAAGTTTCTGCCTTCCATTTAATGAATTGTTTGGTAACAGTAATTCAGTTCCATAGCTCTAAAAACAATTGATCGAGATTGGTTAAATTCCCATTGATAATTATATGGAAAGCTAAGATTCTTATAATTATCATCTTCTTGTTCTTTGCTTAGTTTAATACTTTGCTTGAACGTATCATAAAATATGAAGCGAAAAAATATCAACATTTGAACTCTATATCACCATATATGTTTAATTTCTTAATTTCTTGATAATGCTAAGAAATGAGAAACAAGAAACTTAAATAGTTTTCAAATGTATAGATTTCTTAATAAAATTAGAAATAGATCCTAAACTTTCAAGAAAGCAACATGACGGGAAGGAGAAGATGTCATTCACCACTAAGTTATGCTTATTTTAGTTGGTCTCTCAAACACTTGTGGAAAGGTGCAGCAGAATTTGCTTTTAATATAGTTGGTAAGCAAATACCGATATCATCCTCAGGATTGGGTTTCTAGATCACTTCAAGTACCACAGATACTTTTGCCTGATTTTATTTAGAAATTCAAATTGGAATGTTGGAATATGATTAAAGTAAATCAACATAAACTATTAAAGAATGTAAAATCAATGGGAAGAAGGATCATAGGGAATAGATTTCACCGATTGAATCTATAGACCAATTATTTAATTAATCAAGATTGAACATATTATAAACTCTCTAGGTCAAGAACTCTCAAATCTCAATTGCAATCTCCTGAGCGCAAGCCAAATCTCCTTACTAAATTAAGAAACCAATATCTCTATAGAACTAGTTTTGTAACAAGTAAAGGCTTTAATGAATAAGTCTCTTGACGACCTCTAAAGAAATTCTAAATCTCCCGATCTTAAAACCTCTTCAGTTATGAATCTCAGTTCTCAACTCTCAACCACCTCTCCCGAGCGTAAGATTATAGCAAGTCTGAGATCAATTAAAAATATAAATAGAATAAACAAATGCATTCAATTAAGAAAATCAAACAATCAATCAATAAACGTCAATGGCTACATCAATCCCTGAGACAAAGGAATTTAGCTACTCATGTTCATTATTAAACTAGCAAAATAAAACACTACAACAAATTCGTCTTTTCATGACGGGCATTGCCCGTCATTAACGAGTAACCATGTCGGTCAGTGACCGACATCTATTCGATTGTCCTTGTTTCTTTTTCAATGACGGATAGTTTTAATGTCGGGCATTGCCCGTCATGTAAATCTTCTTTTCCATGATGATCATGCCCGTCATGGAAGGATAACAATGACGGGCAGTGATCGACATCTTTACGAGTGTCCTTGTTTCGTTTAATTTTGCATGACGATGTTTGCCCGTCATTATATGTGTGACACTGTTTGTACATCATTGTTTCTGCGTCATTGCTTGTACGTCACCGTTTGAACGTCATTGTTTGTACGCCATTATATCTACGTCTCGTATGTAGGTCGTGGAATGACTATATTTCATGACAGACATTGACCATCATTATTTCATGAATAATTTAATTAAAAAAATAGTTGGTTGCCGAGACGTGGCTAACCAACTATATTTCCTTCAAACCTATGATAATATTTCAATATTGCAATTAAAATTAGCTAATTAATATACAACTAAAACTCTTAACATGTTCATCCAATGCAATATTTATTCTAAAACTTAACTCAAAATCTAACCTTGGACTCAAAACACACAAATAATAAAAAGTACGTGACCTCTCCACTTTAAAATATATAATTCAAAACTAACCAACCATATATCTTCGTCCAACCTAATCACACAAAATAATATCTCAATATTATTGCAACTCAAAAACTAATATGCAACTAAAACTAACTATTTCAACATCATGATCTATTCGAAAAACTTAACAAACTAACATTTAGATTCAAAACACAAACAAAAAAAAAATACAAATTTCAACATGAACTCCCCCACTTTAAAATAAAACTCAAAACTAACCAATTAATATATCTCCTTTCAACTTATTGATATAAACTGATATCTCAATATTATTGAAACTGAAAAACATAATATGCAACTAAAACTAATTTCAACACATAATATTCTAAAACATAACTAAAAAACTAACCTTAAACTCAAAACACAATTATTTAAGAGTTTATCAAACAAGTACAAATTTCAACATGACCTCACTACTTTAGAATAACTCAAAATTAACTTGGAAAGCAATAATATACTACATTTAGCAACAATCAAACACTTCTATATTAACACCCCTTCCACACAGAAACAAATGGGACCGCCCGTCCCTCCAACAAAACTACATTCAGCATAACAATCCAAACTTCTATATATTATAAACAAGACCAAGTATTTCAAATCTACTAAGTACTACTACAGAAAGTAACCCGAACCAAATACTTATATCAAATAAACAAAAGTAATGAATCCATAGGTACTACACAAATCGTCCAACAAATGATGTCCATTCTATTTGAACTTCGTCGATTTCTTCTTGTTTGTAGGCATTTTTTGTATTAAACTACAAAAAAAATAAGATAATACTGATTAATATAAGGATAAAGCATATATAAATACGTAAAGATATATGATAATACGTACAAGTTCAGTTATGGGAGTATTAGGGTTACACACTATTTCTCGTATATACTTTTGCAAATAGTACCCACATTCGATAGAACCTAGTTGCCGAGGACACTACATATAGAAAATTTGAAAAATAACATAATTATGAATTGACAAAGGATTTCAATACACATTTGAGCATATTTAAAATGTAATCAAATACAAGTTTACCTTCCCAGGTTTCCAAACTGTAACATAAAAAGTACCATTTTCCAAATCCTGCTTTTCATAACTGGTAATAGAATACGTAATTATGAGAAAGGAAATCCACAGCTAGAAAATTGAACCTGTTTACCATATCAATGTGTAACAAATAAAACTTAAAATTAAGCATATGCATTAGGAAGAAGAACTACCCCAAGCTACAAGTAAACAGAATGTGAGAGCATAGTCATAAGTATAGGATTTAAATCAAATTCTTTAAAACCATAGAAGATACCAAAGTTTAATAGACGACTTAATACCATACCTTACCACTGAGAAATAGAAGAGCAGAAATCCCAACAAAGTTACTCCTCCAAAAAAATGACGAGTACAAGTGGTGCCTTCCATCTACCACTCTATGACAGTTGAGACATTTAATTGTCAAAACCAAATCAATGAGATCATTAGTTTTGCATTTAGAGGAAACTATAATTAATGAATGTTGCCATCCTCATAATTCTTTAGCATAAAAAGTATCACGTATTGATCAAACAAGCAAAAATTCACAACGAATGTAACAAAGATATCGAAGTTCGTTCATTAAACAATTAAACTCGACTCTTCTGCATCTCGGTTTAATCACAAGCAAACAAGTTGGACATGCAAAACCAGAGCACCATCCTCATATAATATACAATAGCAAACGTATCGAATGAGTCGAGACATACTTGTCAATTCTGGCTGAAGCCCCTTGCATTGAATCATAGGATGAATTGCTAAAGAATCATCCCTAGATTTCAAAACCAAAATAGGGAGAGAGAGACAGAAATGTAAGGATATTGGAATAACCCAAAATAAATCTGACAGAAAAGGGATAGAAAAATTGGAAACAATATAAAAATAGTAAAGCCACAAATTTGCTGAGTCTCTTTGTTTCTGAATGAGGCCTAGGTAATAGCTTAAAAATTTATGTAATGGGACGCCTGATACAGCCACACTGAATTTGGAAAATGGAGGTAAATCATATTTGAAGTAAAAAATTTAGGCACATACAATAACTGAGATACAATAGATTCTGAGAAAAGTTGAGAATGAAAACAAAAATAATAGAGGGAAAAAACTTAAACAACAAAGTAAAATAACAACTAACATTTATAAGTCAATGACAACCCTGCCCTCAAAGCTTGGAGAAAACCAAATCCAATTAGAGTTCATAGCAAAAGGAGTACAATTATAAAGTAAATTAAAAAGAAAAGACCAATTTGAATAATTCTATAATTTTTTAACAATATTAATTTTTAGGGTGGAGCTAAACAAGGTAAGACAACAAGGCATGACTTGCAGACAAAAAAGGCTCACCATCCAGATCTAACAGCTTGTTGGACAAGACAAATACTAAGAGGTGCATATCCATAAAAGACATAAACAATAGCAGTCGAGCTGCAACATAATAAAAACATAATAAATAGAAGTCAAAATTAGCAGACAATACAAAGTGCATCAAATCGAGATACAATTACTTCTTACAAAAAATTTTGTACTCCACTCCACCACATAGGCCAGCACATTTTGCATTAGATGGTTGAAACAATATCACATAGAATTTTAAAGTGGTATGTATCAGAGATGCCAGTTATCAACATACCAATAACCACTAGATAGCCCCTAAATGAAAAATCTATTTAAGATAGGATCCCCGCAAGCAAATTAGTAAAAAGACAACTTTTCCTTTTTTTTCTCTCTTTCCTATTACTTACAATCTGTCTACTCAACGTTCCAAAAAAAAAATATTTTCGTTAATGCAACATCATTTGTATAGTTTTCTCAATCGTCATAAATATAGAGTTAGACACTACATTTGCCACATTTTTATATGCTGCCATAAGAAGTTTTTAGTTAATGTAGCAAGATGATAAAAGAAAAAGCATTAGATGGTACAAAATAAAAATAATCTATTAAAAAAAAACGAAGATCACCCCTTAAATTGGAGCACAAATTTAACAGGCTAAATCTATTGTGGTAGAGTTCCATATCAAAGGCTTGGCTATCGAGTCTTACTTTATGAAAGCAACTATAATATGAACTCGAGACTCAAGTGATTTCAGCTCATCACCACTAGAAGCCATAAATGAAGAGAAATTATAAAACGAAATAAACAGTATGAGGGAAGGAACATTACCTTATAAAACAATAGCTTTATATGCTTGTAAAAATCAACATGGGTTGAATTACCAAAAGCATTCATTTTTTCTCTATAACGAAAAAATATCAACTTCAAAGTAAGTGGAGAGGGATGACATTAGTCTAAAATATAAGAGCAGATAACTCATTAATTAAATTTCTTAAAACATTCCGGGATTGTTAAAAGATATTGACATATTGCTAACATATTGAACTAAACCCAACTACAATTTCGACCAAAAAAAAGAACAACACAACTTTTCAAAACAAAATTCAATCCTTCTCCACCAAATATCCTTTACGGCAAAAAAAGGATATCCGAAATAAATTGCAGCCCTTTATCAGTACAAAGAAGCAATAGAGATTCAAAACAATAAATTGGAATATTTTGACATGCATAAGAAACTTACCCACTGCACGAAGAGGTGGATGCCGCCGTCAATCGAAGTCGTAGAGTTCTCCATTGGACTTCGCTGTCGAAGTCCTTCGTTGTTGTCGCTATCAATCGAAGCCATGGAGTTCGTCATCCTCCGTTGCTATCGCCATCAATCGAAGCCGTGGAGTTCGTCGTCCTCTGTGTCACCGTCGATCGAAGCCGTGGACTCCGACTATCACTGCTGGACTCCCTATTTTGGCTATTTCAAGCGACAATGAGGTGGGAGAGAGGCAAAAAAAAATTTGGGGAAAAAATTAGTGTTAAGGTTCAAATTAAAATTTGGGCCACTTTGATGGCGGGCCCAAATAACTATCTACAATAATTTCTTTTTTGTTTTAATTTTTTAAATTGTCCGTCATTGATTCTTTCGATTTTTTTTTGTCCGTCATGGTTTCCTCCGTATTTTTCTCTGACATTAAAACTCACATTTGTTGTAGTGAAAGAGATAGAAAGTGAATATGTCATGTTGATTGATCGTCCCCGACTCAATCTCCACGATCGATCTTCGAAACCCAACTTCTTCGTCTAAATGCGCTCCAATTTTCCATGGTTGGATCCCCCATCATCAATTGATCTGCGAAGGCTTTATTTTATAGAAAAATTCAGGACATTGTCTCGACACTAGGGGCAGCACGTCTTGACGCTGTACCCTAAATACTAAAAATAAACGGATTCTGGTGTCGTAGCGTTGAGATGCTATGACTGGCATTGAGACGCTACGATGCGAAGCATGAACTATCTCATTATTCATCGTAGCGTTGAGACGCTCTGATGTAGCGTTTTAACGCTACCCCCTCGAGTCTTCTAGATCTAATTTATGTTGTGGGACATTCTCAACTTGCTCAAGCTATGACTTTTCATTCTATTTGATCAATTTGACGTCCCGATTATTCTTGATACTTTATTTCTACAAAATAACAATTATGCACGTAAATTTATCGTAAAGAAACGTAAACTAACAATTAATTCCATTATAATTATTATAAAATATAGCCCATATCGGGGGCTATCAACACCCTCGAGCTTAACCTTTTGCTTGTCCTCAAGCAAAATAGCAATCTAATATTAAAGGACCAAGGATAATTATGTGCACATTTTTTTTCATCGCAGATTCTTCCACAGGCTCACGTATATCTTATTCATTATACGAACTCCCTTTTCTACTTCGTTTCCTTCTTTTCAATACCCAAAAATTCAAGTAAAGTTAATCATGTATCTATCAGATGAATCAAATGACAATTAAGAAATAAGTGATGATAAGATATAATTTGTAAAAGAACTCAAACATCTCATCAATTTCTTGAAATTCAATGCAAATGACTTGACACCCTCACAAGAAATCACTTCAATCTCTCAATATGATTTAAGATTATTTTTACTCACAAACTAAACATAGCATGTTGTTACCATAGGCTTGCAAATTAATCAAAATTTCCCACTTTTAGATGAATAAATTGCAAAAATCAAAGGAACTTTTAATAATTGTTGTAACGAGGCTTAGGTGAAGGTGGGATAAGAAAAATTTATAGGCTCAATAATCAAGATGGCAAAGATATTAAATTGCATAATAGCACAAAGTACATTGTATTCTGGCATCTTGAACTTGTCCACCCATATCTTCGAGTGATAATTTGGAGTAGTAAAATTGATTGACTTTTTTGAAACAATACTCTCCAAATGACTTCTTTGTATAAGCTGAAATTTTAGAGCATAATTCTTCAAATGATAATTTTTTTTTCAATGCTCATCACCACCTCATTTTTATACTCTTCAACCACCTCATTTTTATACTCTTCAACACACATAACTTGCATAACAATAAGAGTTAAATGTATTACCATGCAAGAGTCTTGATCATAGGGAAACATTTTGGATAAAAGAATAAAAGGCCTTATAGTTTCAAAATGATGTGCTAAACAAAAAATAGGAAATTAGACTCAAAGTTGGCTTAATATAGGAAAATATACTGAAAGGTGTGCTTTTTTTAGAAGTGAAACATAGAGGAAGCCTAAGTTGCTCTTATCGTATTAAAACATCTATCCAAATAAGTGGTCACAACACTCATTCACAAGCAAGTTCTAGAATAATCATGCTAAGTTTGATCACACAAGAATGAAAATAAGTAGAGATATAATAAGCTGCTCATATGCTAAAAAAACTCACTTGGGTGTGTAAATTGCATCAAATCAAGTGCATTTTTCAATCAAAAATTTCAATTAGATACCATCATATAATTAAAAAAAAAAACGACCATGCTTATCTCTTTCATGCATAATGAATCAACACAAGAATGCATTCATAACATACCAAATATTCAAAGGCATCACTCAGAATTCAAAGATTCAAAAAGAAAATTAGCACATATGAATTAGAGGTACCTATCATCCCATCAATGTATACAGATCCACATTCGAAAAACAAAAAACAAAATTATGACAAACCAGAATTACTCCACACCCTAACTTAAAACTTACATTGTCCCAATGTAAATAAAATCAAAATATAGAAGACAATAAGAAAAATGAAACCAAAAAGAATAGTGGAGAAAGAAACTGCCCTGTAAGAGAAACTCAACCTTACTGGTTGTGCTTTTCGTAGGGAATGGGAGGCATAGGTAACAGAGGAAAGGCGGAGCCTCCACATTAGGGTTTACCTACATCATAAAAGAGTACATATGTGTCTGGCACTGATGAATACGAGCAAAAGAAGCAACCTGATAGTCATTCTAGCACCGCAAATATTGTGCCATGTGATGATGTCGATCATCACTGGAGCGTTGGGCTGGCTTGACTGTAGATGGTCCCAGCTCTACAAGGTTCTGGCACAGGATCTACAGCTGCATCATCATCAACATGAAAGTCGTGATCCCATCCTCTCAAACCCATGATAAATTTTTTTTATCATTAATGCACTTAGGATGGACCAACTCTTCATTAGGGCCCAGTTAACTCTCACTACCCGACATAATGCAGTAATCAATGACCCATGGTCGAGACCTCCAACAGTAGTGGCACCATGTCTTATGTGGTGTATTGACTGCAAAATTACTGTACCCACATCTATCGTCCTCCCTGTGGCGATGGCCTATAAGAGAATGACTCATTCCTTTGTAACATCACTCATGTGTACTACCGGTAGTAGTTTAGCACAAATGAAACTCTGCCACACTCTGTTCGACACACTGAGATCAGATGTCTTGAATTTTATCACCTTACCTCTCCTCATAGTCTACTCGGCTGACATAACTCATGAATAATCTGATGGACATCTAACTGCTCACTCACATCACGATTGCATTCATCCCGCTCAAACCCGTGCAAGTGATAATACTGATTTATAGTATTGGAGTCAACAGGGACGTGATGGTCACCATCTATAATGTTGGCATAAAATCCGCGTACTACTGAGACTACAGAAGCTTGAGGCTATTTGAAAAGCTCCCCCCAACCATGTTATACAATATTATTAAAAATGCTAGGTTGATAAATCTCACATGGTGCCAACCCTCGCTCTTGAACTACCGTACGCTCCACAACATACCGGTGATACAAATCAATGGCCGCTTTTGAAACAAAATGGTGGGGATCAAAATTTCCCTTTGATAATGTGACACGTCTAGCACGCTTGGGACTCATGGTACAAGAAAAATCCAACAAGAACAAATCTATTGCTAAGCTGATTTCGATTTTTCCACAAGTAAATCTATCTCCGTCAACAAGAACTCTATCAAAGCATACAGCAGAATGGGCAACACAAAATCGAGTTCAAATTAGTAAAAATTTCTCAAAGAGTGTAGAGAGTAAATACCCACGGCTTCAAGAGACCTCAAAAATGCCTTAAAGAAATTTGGAAGAAATTGGAAGAAAAGAGAAAAACAAAAGTTTCAATGCTGTAGGCGCAGGTTACTTACGTTTAGTAGCATTGAGACGCTTTAGACGACTTCGTGATGTCCATCCCAACGCGCGCGTTTCGCGTTGTTTGTTTTTTTTTAATAATTAAACTATCTGCAACAAAAAGAAAAATAATTAAATAGAATAAAAAATAGAACAAGTTAATGAAATCCCAAAAATAATAAAAAAAAATACTAATGAATATAATGATGAATAAACACAAGAGGAGATAATATGGATTGCCTCACATTAAGTGCTTGACTTAACGTCAGAAGCTAGACGAGGCTTGAGTCAATTATTCAAGGAGGTTGAAATTAATTGTTTCCTCCATTGACTTCTTGATGTATAAATTTTTTCATTTTTAGAGTTTCTGCTCAATGGTTTGGGTCCTTTGTGGCTTTAAATATTTTTTTATCATCTTGGACTCGAATGGTGAGCTCTTTTTGTTCTACATCAATTAAAATTCACCCAGTTGCCATAAATGGTCTTCCAAGAATCACATGCAGCTCATGATTTTCCTCCACATCCATCACATAAAAATCTACTGGAAGGATGAATTTGCCAACTTTTATCAACACGTTTTCAATGACTCCATAAGGATGTGCAGTCGATCTATCAACTAATTGGATCATTATAGAAGTCCGCTTAATTTCTCCAATATTTAATTTTCTGCACAAAGATAAAGGAGTTGAATTAATGTTGACACCTAAATCACATAAACCTCTAAAACCATAACTACCAAGATTGCATGGAATAGAAAAGCCCTCTAGATCCTTGAGTTTTTGTGGTAGTTTTCGTTGAATTCTCACGTTGAAATTCTCAACCAGATGTATTGTTTCAAATTTCTTAAACTTCTTCTTGTTAGAGAGCATCTCCTTCATAAATTTGACATAATTGGGCATCTGCTCCAGTGCATTTGCAAAAGAAATGTTAATATTAAGCTTTTTAAATATGTCCAAGAATTTTTTGAATTGAGCATCAACCGTTTTCTTTTGAAAACATTGAGGATAAATTGTTAGGAATAGTAGGAAGAGTAGTGGCTTTTCAGCCTCGAGAGTTGGTGGTGCTTCCTTCACTGTCTCCTTTGAATTGTCTTTTTTCTCAATACAGATTATTGGCTCCTCAATTGTTTCATATCCAAGATCTTGGAGTTGTCTTCCACTTCTCAAAGTCACTGCCTTGCAGTACTCAATTGGGTTTACCTCAGTATTGCTTGGAAATTCCCCCTTTTGCATACCATTGAAAGTGGTAGTCATCAGCCTAATCTGCACTTCAATATTCTTGATCTCTTATATTTTCATCAATTTTCATTTCCATATTGTCTGTGTTTATCAACTCGACTGGCCCGGCTTCTGAATTTAGTGATGAAAGTACCAAGTATTTCCTCAAGGGATGATATCTCTTTGTTCAGCTGGGGCGTAACGTCTTTTGGTGGCTGCTAAACATTCCTGTTGTTGGAATAAGAGAAATTTCCCTGATTTCTCAATCCTGGATGATAATACGTCGGCAGCGAACTTTAAGTCTGATTCCCTCGGTAACTAAAGTTTTTGTTATTGACATATTGAACTTGCTCAATGGTTGGCTCCACATAAAAAGGATATGTGTTTGGAGCTACCACTATCACATATAATATTTTATAGCACTATAGTATTAGAGAAGGACTTTATTTGCCTTTTTTTAAGTGTAATACAAAAAGTCAAAATAATGCTAGAAACAGAAGGGTGAAGCTTTGCCACTTTAACATGAGCATAACTTAACTGATTAAAGACTCTATCATCTACCAAAAGAGTTATTTAGGTTAATTTCTCTGATATTAGTTCCTAATTCAGATTAATTTTCTAAATTATTTTCAAGCAAGTTGAAGACATTTGGGTTGATCAAAATTTTCGAGTTTTGTTAGTGAAATTTCATTGATCGAAAATATATTTTTGTATAAATAAGTTTTTTTTTTCAAAACTGTGTATCAAAACGTGGGTTGAGAATGGCAAAGATTTCTACCGTAACAGTAAGGCTATTTTTCTAATAGTTTTTGAACTTTTAGAACCAAATAACTATTTCTAAAAGTTATTTTTGTTTTATAAAAGAGAATTTTGTTCATTTCAAAATCACATGCACCGAAAAAAATTTTAATATGAGTGTGTACGGATATACTATTTTCATTCACTATCAACTACATCAATATCTTTGAAGTAAGAATAATTGGTGATGTTTTTTGGGGACGAGTTGACAACTAACCGATTCTACCCCTATAACTTTCGCAATCTGGAATGATGGATAAGCAAGTTACTGGCCTCTCTGAAGAAACCGAATAAGCTCATAAAGGGGCCCCACCTAGAAGAGCCCCCGACTCAAAGGGAGGAGAACCGAAGAAGCTCCCCTGCTGAAGAACTAGAGCTTGTTCCCCTATTGATTGAAGATAGAAAAGTCAGCATGGGGACGAAGGTAGTGTTAAGGACAAAGGTACCTTGAGTACCCCACGTATCTCCACAATGGTATGATATTGTCCGCTTTGGGTATAGCCCTCACAATTTTGCTTTTGGTTTCACTCAAAAGGCCTCACTAGAATGAAGATAATTGTCCTATCTTATATACGCATGATCAATCCCTTCTCAGCCAAACAATATCATACCATATTGTGGAGATACATGAGGTACTCGGGGTACCGTTGTCCTCAACAAGTAGTACTAGAGCCCAAGGTTGAAGAATGATGACTGGGGAAGATAAATTGGTTATTTTTTATGGAATTGATTTTTCGTATCGGAAGGATCAGATAGTAGATTATCTACACTATAAGAAAAATGACTTTTCATAGCATTTAAAAATAACATTTTATAAAAATAGCCATAAAAAATAGGGAGCAAAAGACTCGCGCTCTCTAAAATTTTAAAAAATAAAAAAACACGCCTGAAAAAAAGGAGTAACACATCACGGAAAGAAAAAGGTTTTTGGGTTTTTGGGTTGAATAGCTTTTCTCAAAGGCCCATTATGTAATGTGGCCACTTTCTTCATTTGTATGTTTGGTAAACATTTGCTGACATTACCATCCATTCCAAATTTTATTTGAATCTCATATTTTCTCTCCTTCTCTTCTCCCTCCTCTCATTCTTCATCTTCTTTGGTGTTTCCTCCTCCCTTCCTCTCTCTTCTCTTCTCTCTTTTCAAATTTTTCAAATTTTTACAGATTTCAAACTTTCATTTTTTTTTTCTGTTCAAAATTTCCATAATTTTATGGATTTGAAACTTTCTCTTTCTTCGTATTTTCTCAAAATTAAAATGTACAATTTTTTTAGATTTTTCTCTACATCTCTTCTTTGTTTCATTTGTTTTCCTATTTCGCATGAATCAACGAAAAATCCCTCTCTCCCCTGTTTCGTTTTTTTTCTTCATATTTCACATGAATCAACGAAAAAAATGATGTACCCGATTCTATACATAAGAAACTTGATTTTTTTCTAACTATAAAATCAACTGATTGTGGGAGAACTAAAGCTTGATTGTGGGAGATTGAAAAGAGAGAACGAGAAAAGAGAGAGAAGAGAGAGAAAGAGATCGAGAAAAGAGAGCGAGAAAGAGGGGGAGAACGAGAAAGAGCGAGGGCGTGAAAAGGAGAGAGAACGAGAAAGGGAGAGACAGCGAGCATCAAATGGAGCGAGAAAGAGAGCGAGAAAAAAGAATCCCAATTTTTTAATTCTATTACTAATTTCAATTGAGACGGATATTTGATTCCAATTGAATTAGTTTTTATAATTCAATCATTAAACAAATTGATAAAGGGAACCGTTTCACTAAATCAAATAGTTAATTACGTATTTTTAATATGGAAAAAAATCAAGATACGTTAAATCCAGCTGAGTTGACCTCAAAATTCTAGTTTGGCTTCTTTCGAATTCAATTCCTAAAAATAAATTAAAAAAAAAACTCATAAAACAGACCCCCAAAAGATAGAGGAAAAAAAAAAAAAAAAAAAAAAAAAAACCGTACAACACAAATTGGAAAGCAAGAATCCCGGACAAATAAAGTCGGTAGAATGAAGAAAAAATAAATAGGCAAATCGATTCGAAAAGGAAAAATGAATACAAATATAATCTCAGACCGGGATTGTTCTACTCAGGCCTAGATTGTGTAATCCCGGTCCGGGATTGTGCTATCCCGGGCCTGGATATTCATGCAATTTTCTTTTTCTTTTTTTATTATAATTTTGGGCATGCAATCACCCTTTTTTAAAATTAAATCCCATATATTATTCAATCTGGTCCGAACTCACCGAAATTCGTGTACTATATTTTTTTAATTATTTTGGGCATGCAATCTTGCCCTCTTTTGAAATTAAATCTCGGATTTATTCAATCTTGTCCGATTCAGGGAAATTCATCCAATTTCTTTCTTTTTCTAAGATTTATTTTGGGCATGTAATCTTGCCCGCTTTTGATATTAAATCCCAGATTTATTTAATCTTGTGCGGATTCATGGAATCGTGATTAATTTTTAATTTAATCTTCACACTCATGCAATTTTGGGTTGGGATTATGAAATTCGGTTTTCATTAAAATATTTAATCATCCCATTTTGTAATTTCAAATTTTTTTCATAGATTTTTTTCATATTAAATTAGTAATTGATTTTTCAAATTTCAAAGAGATTTTTTTTTTCTAATTCGTAATCAATTTTTCAAATTAAAAAGTTAAAAGATTTTTCCATATTAGACTCAAATTAAAAAGTGATGGTGAGGTTTAAGGGAAAGATTCTTCACACTCATTCAAATTAAACCTAATTGATTCTCTTTCTCGCTTTTCTCTCTATCTTTTTTTTCTCTCTCTCGTTTTCTCTCTCTCTTGCTGCCTAATCTCCTCATTGACCAATGTTGACGTCCTATAACATCTTTGGGCAAGACTACTCCTTGTGTGAGTTCAATCAAGTGTGAGTTTTTCCATTGTAAATTCGTACGGAGCTATCAACGAATTCCGGCAAAATTGAGGGAAACTCTCTTCCATGGGAATGGCAAGTTTCGGACAGGCTCATATTGGTACCCCACCCCAAGCCGTTCTTGAAGTGGACCCGACCATTGTAGAAGCGGCTTTCTCGATACGAAACAAAAGGCCTAGCCTTCTCTCTCTCTCTTTCTTTCTCTCTGTTATCATTTTCTCTCTTCTTTCTCTTTCTTTCTCTCTGTTATTGTTTTCTTTCCTTTCTCTCTCATTCTCTTTCTTCGCTTTGATTTTCTCCACAATCGGGGTATTTTACCGTTAGAAAAATGAGGTTCCTTATATGGTACAAAACCAGAGAAAATTTGAAGAAAGAAAAAGTTTGAAATCCATAAAATTCTAAAAATTTTGAAGGAAAAAAGGAGAATGTTTGAAATCCAAGATAAGGGAGAGAGAAGAAGATGAAGAATGAGAAGGAAGAGAATGAAATAGAATATGAGATTCAAACGAAGAAAAGAGGGGGAAGGTAAAAATTTTAAATATATCAGTAATTTGAATGGATGATGATGTGTTTACAAAACATAAAAATGAGTAGAATGACCACATTTCATAACGAGCCTGACTCAGAAATCCCCTCCATATTTTACCTCTTATTTGTTCCTTGTTTCTTCTTCTCTTCATCTTGGTCTCTTCTTTTGGTCTCTCAAACATTTCTTTCTATTACTTTCTTCTTTAATTTTTCTAAACATTTCTTTCTATTTGTGAGAATCTAATCAATGGATTTACCATAGAACAGAGAGATAACAAGGGAAGAAGAAAGATTACACGCTTGATTATAGTGGTTCGATCCCTAAGGATCTACGTGCAAGAAGATCAACAATACAGAGCTCAACTCTTAACCCTCACCCTCTCTTCTGCTATCAGATACTTGAGGAAGGTAGGTACAACACTATTTATGTAACAGCAGTAACCACAATATTACAGTAGTAAAAAACTAGTCATAGACATAAGTGACATATTTTTCACAACTCACCCTCTTGGCATTTATCTGATATGAACTTTTGTAGACCTCAGTAGTAACTTTTTGAAGTTCTAAATCTTCTTTACCCAACCCCTACCTTAAGTAGGTTACTTAGTTGTTGGATTATTGTACTTGACAGCGTCTTCGTGAGCATGTCAGCAGGATTGTCGACTGAGGCTATTTTCTCAAAATTTATCTGTTTCTTGAGTGCTATATCCCGCAAGTAGTGGAACTTCACATCAATGTGTTTGGTACGGTCATGATACACCGGATTCTTCGAGAGTGCTAAGGCACTTTGACTATCAGA